ATTTTGAGACTACATGGTGCTATCTAGACAAATTTTAATTTATTAGATTTTCTTAATTTTATGATAATAGTTAAAAGAATAGATATTATTCTGAAACTTTAGACAAATCAATTCATATCATCAAGTTCTCTTTAATATATATGTTCAAGTATATATAGTGTCCCATTTTAGAGTAGAAAGTAAAATCATATGAACTTAGAATATAATATAGATTTTTGAACTTGATTTCTTATTTTAACATGAGATATCAGATTCTAGAGAAATATATTTGTTTGAAAATTTTCAAAACAAATCATAACAGAAAAAGTCTATAATTTTATTTTATGAGTAATCTCTAGTTTGAATAATTAGCTTTTAAGAAATCTCTATAATATTATTTGAGAAATCACTTTCACCTTAATTCTCACGATGATTTACTACATTGATACTCTTAATGAGCTGAAATTATTATTCTAATTGTCATTATTAATATTCTATTTTTATTAATAAATTTCTCTTTGTAACCACATTGTTATTGAATAGGAATTTCATATAAAAGACAATATCTATTAATATTTTCTATTTTTATTACTAAATATTGTTGTAGCCGCATTATTATAAAAAAGTTATATAAAAGATAATATATTTAATATTCAAAATAAAATAAATATATATATATTTGAAAACATGTTATCTAATAAAAAATTACTTTATATAAATTTCAACCTTATAAACCTTTTCTTCATATTTCTAAAAGTCCACGTTGTTTAAAATTGTTTAGGATATTAAAAATCAAATCTACCTTTTTCTTAATAAAAAGAAAACTATGTGCTTATACTTTTTAATAATTATAAAATTTTCCATTTCTACAGAAAATCACAATTTTATGCAATTTTAAAACATTTATAAATTTTTTTGATTCTAATACTATTTGAAAGCTGCCAAAATTTATATAAATTATTAATTGATCTCATAACTATCAACACAAATCTAACTATCAGATATTGACAAAAAAAACTAACTATCAGACTATCACCCATCATTCATAGAAAATATTCTTGTTTTTTTATTGAATATCAAATTTATTGAGCAATGTAAGACACATTTATAAGAGTTGTGTGTAAGCTATGCTAGGCTAACTAGAACAAAGAATGAAAGAATGCAATGTAATAGGTTGGCACTTAATTAAGTTCAAACCATCTTGTTAAGAGCCCAGCAAGCGGGTAGGGCCAGACGTAACGTAGTGAGGATATGCGGTTCCGAATCAATTTCCCAATCCTGCGTGTGAGTTCATCCACAGAGACCCAGACTCCTCCATGTCATCTCGAATTCCTCTCCCTCCAGGTTGCATAAATGGTGCATTGGAAAATCAGCCTCAAGAGAATGGTGTTGTCTTATTAGAGTGCATAAGAATTGTTACCGTTTCTTCCCAATCAGGTGTGATTGTTTGGCCAAGAATTCGTTCTAGCAATGTTCATTTATATGGTGAAAGAGTACGGGTAGACAAAGTAGAGGTGGTCTCTTGTTTTATTTTCTTCTCCACAGAACATGCAGACTTGCTCAATTCAGGGGTGAAGCCAGAATAATTTTTCAGTGGGTGCAAAATATAACAAAGGTCTTAGGGGGAATCAAATTTGAGATTTGAAGAGGATGCACAACACTACCAAACCATCTAACTTAGCTAATTTCTTTGTATTTTTACATATAAAAAGTTTAATATTTACAAAATTATGGGTGCACGTGCCACCCTAGTCTTGATCCTGACTTTGTCCATGGCTCTATTCCCCAGGTCTTCATGTGATATCTCATAAAAGATATTTCTTATTCATAAAAATAAAATTACGTCTTTTCTTCGTAAAAAACAATTCCCATGATAGAAAGAGAAAATTATTCATCTTTAGATACATAAAAATTCAAAGTGACCATATGAGACTTTAGAAAGAATATCTCAATTGAGATATTTCTGTTGAGATGGTTTGATTGATGATGATGTAATTTTTAAAACTTATATTTTTCAATTTCTGTTAATCCTAAAGTTATAGAAATCAAATTGTATCTATGCAAATTCTAACTTATATTATCATTATTTCCTAGGATAACTATATTTATGAAGCAATTAAAGGTGATGATTTGGTTAAGAATTTTGATAATAGTTGGTAAAAGGTGAACTGAAAACAATTAACACATTTAAGATTAGTTCTTATACTAGTGAATTTAACTTTTTAGAAATAAATATCATGACCAAATCGAATATTTGCAAAAAAAAACAATTATACACTGCTACTAAGCAACTTATAAAGAAAATTGTAATTAAAATAACATAAAATGACACAAAATAGAAAATTAAAAATAAGAAAATATACTATAAATTATTATATTTTGGTTTAGAAGTAAAGTAAAGGGTTTCATGTTAAAAGAAAAGAAAAATAAAAAATAAAAAAAATAATTAACATATATAAAGGTAAGATGGCAATTAATACATATTGATAGATTTAGTGTATTCTACCCATTTGTTTACTATGGTTATTCTCTTAAATCTTAACTATGTCTTTCATCAGCGTGTAACTGATTATGCATTATATTTTTTTGCTATTCATTTCTGAGTGTTTGTATTAGTTTAAATTGAAACACATGAACCAAAAACTGTCTAAAACAGTAGAGCATGCATAATTTTTTGTTGAAATTCGTGTCATCGTGTCCATTTAAAGCTGCTAATAACATATACGGTGGGTTCAAAGTAAAATCTTGTTTTTGATGTTGAGATGAATAATAACTTTCCGGCATTGTTTAAAAACTAGTTAGGAAGAAGATATGCTAATGCATTTTTGTTTCCTTCCCCTCTATATATGTTTGAGTTAATTTTGACATTTAACTATTTAAAAGTTATAAATAAAGTTATTTATTGTTTCTTACAAAAGTTTCAAAATCCTTAGTTACAACTAAATTTTCAAGCGTGCATCCTTCAAATAATTTTATTGAAAACATATAATATTATATGTATCATCAAAAATGTTTTAACTTGGTAAGAAAATAATATGTATATGTTTATATTGGTAAAACTAAAATATGAAGCATAGATATTTGTATAATTTGATAATGTCATGAATTTTCAAAAACTTGACCACCGTTTCGCAAATAATTTTTGAAAAAAAACTGAATGAGTAGTATATTTAAATGTTTAATTATGTTCTATTTTTTCTAAATTCTCACAATACAAAAAGAAAACAAAAAGAACTAGTCACATAAGATAAAAAGAAAAAACGAAAATCTAGAACTTGTTTAAACCCAGGACGATTTACAATTGTATCCCTTCTCTGCACTGAGTCAAACTAGAGTGAACACGGGTTTCTCTCTCTTGCTATATTTCTTCCCATGTAATAGACGACCAATGTGGTAGACACACAGACTATGAACATTCTGTCCCTTGCACGTTTGGGATTCGTATTGATGTAAACAAACCAGATTTCAACAGAAGTGGAATCAGGACAACAAGCTCGGTCCATTTTCGACAGCAGTACGTGCTTGGCCATGGTT